GAAGTGGGTCCTTTTTTACAATGTGTTTCTTAAGGAGCTCAATCTTAGATTACGGGCTCTTAAAGGGCTCCATTTTTTATTTTTTCGGTAAATCAGGCCACTCATTAAATATACAATTAACAACCATTTTAACTGCTTTGGTTGCAATACCTTGACCCCAATACTTTGAACCCAGAGCATAACTAAGCTCGCCTCGACATCGGTCTCCACCAGTAAATGGTGTAACATATATAGCACCAATTGGTCTACTTTCTAAACAAATAGCTTTGAACCATGGATGTGGGATAGCAATGTCTTTTACGTAGTTTACTGCAGCTTCTCTAGATGTGTAGGTTTCCCATTTACAATATTGTGATACACGATCATCGATCATCGGTTAACCAAACCATTACATCATCTACATACATCTAAAAGATCTAATGGTCTCAGTGTGATTTCTGACAATTTCTTCTCATACTCCATTGAATTGCTTTGATGAGAAATTTCTCAGAGATGAATTCCAATCCAAGTGAATGAATTTATTTGCTTGATAGAGCAGACTTAATTGCCCTTACATGCGTATATATTCACTGAAAATATGCTCACTTTAATCAGTGTCGCGAATCAGAAACCCACTTGTTTAAATGATTTTGTAGTTGTAGGAACAAATATGCACTTCAAAAATCAAAATCAATATTAGATCAAAGCACCTTGATTATAAATATGTTTCTTACAGTATGTCTAAAGAGACTGGGCTTGGTAGGCTGGTTGCAAACTTGCAGATCGAGTTAGCCATAATCACTCTTTAGTCTTTTCTTATAGTTCATTTCCAAATTCCAAGCATCTCCTTAGCAACTCTTTTAAGCGTTTTAAGGGTCTGTTTGATTCATGTGGAAAATAGATTTTTCAGTAAATAGATTTACCACATGCAAATATTTGGTAAATAAATTTTTATAAAAATCATCAAAAATTGCTGTTTGATTCGTGATGAGATTGTGGTCTATTGTGTGGAATCCATGTTTAATGTTTCATTGAAAAATACAGGTTGCAGGTCTGAGAATGCACATCTTGCATCTCACAACGTTAACAACAATCACAGGATACTATTCTTAACAGACATAATATTCTGCGTCAAAGGTGTTTCTATACATCTAAATTTTGATATTCATGGTTTCGACTTAGATTTGGTGTGATGTGCCAAGCCCATGCAGTAGTGCAACGCAAGGGTGATGCCCCACATATCAGATATTAAACCGATATGATACTACACTTGATCTTAGCCAAAAGGCTGAGAAAGGTATGCATTGTCCATTGTCTCAGACCAATTTTGTATTCCCTAGCTTCTGTTCATCTAAACTAGCTCCTCTGTATGGGTCTAAACTGAAACTTCCGAATGTGAGTCAACCTCAACACTAAGGCAGGTTAGAGCCAGTCCAACCTCAACACTATATGGCAGGTTCGAGCGAGATTTATGAGAGCCGTTGCACAAATATAATGCACTTGTAAGTATATATAGCTCATAATTATAGAGAAAGGAATTTTGCAGCAGATATGGCAGCAAAGAAAAGAGCAAGTCTGAACATGGGAGTGAAAGAATGGAGTATACAAAGACCTACCTTCATTCACTTGCTTGGGATTCTAATATGTTTGAAGATTATGATGAAGATAGAAGGAGAACTACTTCTCTACAAGATGTGAGAAAAGAGCCCCAGCCAGAATCATCAATGAGTTTCTTTTCATGGAATTGTCATGGTCTTGGCCTCGAGCCCTCGACACAACAATACAGGCAGCAAGGATGTGATCTCAACTGTTAAACAATAAATGTAAAGTAGAATAACCAAACAACAATCATTTGAGTAAAGTTTTATGAGTTTAATTCTTGATTTTCTGTAAGTCACCGGGAAGTCAATATTAGGTTCACTGTAAAGCTCCCGCGGTTTCAAAGCAATGAGAGTACTAGCCGGCCTTTTCTGCACCTATTCATGACACTGATAATATCCTGCCAGAAGATTATTATCCTTCTACTATCTGACACACAATTCAATCATGGTCAATAACAGATTTCTACAAATCTACAACAAAAATGGTCTTTCATTCCTCACTCAGAAGTTCAAGACATATGCAAGACTCTTTACACTTTGTCCAACCTCAAGCTCTCAAAGACTTCTATGAAGCTGTAAATATGACTATGATCGATCTACTTTCCCCAGTCTATCCAGTTATAATGCCATTGATGGACATTCACAAGCAACTGACAATCTTACAAGGTACTTGCTGGTGCTACTGCTCAGCCGCATAATTGTTAGTCCCACATTAGTAAGATGCATATAAGTAAGAAGAAGGCGTAGGTGTATAAAAGGAAAGGAAGGCCAACTTTACAACATACTTACCTGGACGGGGTCAATGGGCGATCAAGAAGGTCCATGGCCTAGGTTAGTGACCTCCATTGCACTTCGGAGGGGTGCTCACCTAAGATATCTCCAAGTGGGATAGTCTACGTCGTAATTTGTTCCTGA